AGTGTTGCATGCACAAAACCAGGCTCACTGTCCTTTATGTGCAACAGGTACTGGCTTGACTTTTGAGACCAGTTGATCCTAAAGTGACCCTCAGCTCCAGCTGTGGCTCCCCCAAGCATTTTCAGTCCCTCTGTTCATCTGTGCTCTCCCTGGTTTTCATCTCAGCCCTGTCTGTGCTTCCTACTTCCTGGTGTGTCCTCCCACTGCTGCCTTTCCTGCCTCCCCATCCCCCGGAGCCCTCTAGAACCTTGTTCCCATTGTAAACAAACTACCCTAAGTCCTCAGGTTCACTCTGTTCACCATAGCAAAAACCCACCATTTCCCATTGATACACTGTATCCCACGGAAAACTACTCATTTTCCTATGTTGTCCAATGTCCTAGGGCTGCACCTGGGAACGGGAAGGGTGGCCACAGTCTTAATTCCTCCTCCCTATTATAAAACCATCTCCTTTGAGATTCGTGCCATCAGTTCTACCATTCTTTACTGTGGCCATCCTTTATGACCAGCTTCCTGTGTTCCTTGAGGACTTTGGGACCTGACTCAGTTTTTCTCTCTACTACTTATCCTTGCAACATCCTGGTAACTTCTGTATCCCTGCCAACAACTTGGACCTCTTCCACCATTGTGTTTTGGGTGTGTGGGGAGCAGGTGGCTCCAACAACCAATCCTCACCTGTTCTTGACCACCTTCAACTCTAGGGAACTTCACTTCCACTTCATCCTTCCATGGCTGCTCACCACCCAGGCCGTTCCACTGCTAAATCTTACATTCCAACACCCCACATTCTAACCATAATCACAGCTTAGGGTTCTTTCTGTCTCTTTCGCTTGTCTGACCTCAATAAATGTGTGTTTCAATTGCATAAAGATTCCCAGTGCCTATCCCTTAAACCTGAGCAAGAGGAGCCCCCGGCCTGAGCTTCATACTTGAGGGGGCTCCACTCTAACCCAAACCAGTCAATCCTAAAGGAAATTAACCCTGAATATTCATTGGAAGGACTGCTAATGCTGAAGCTCCAATACTTTGGCTACTGGATTCAAAGAGCCAATTCATTGGAAAAGACCCTGATGCTGGGCAAGATTGAAGGCAAAAGGAAAAGAGGGTGGCAGAGATAAGATGGTTAGATAGCATCACAGACTCAATGGACATAAGTTTGAGCAAATTCCAGGAGACAGTGGAGGACAGGGAAGCCTAGCACACTGCAGTCCATGGGGTTACAGTCATACATGACTTAGCAACTGAACAACAACAACACTCTAACCCTTCTCAGATTGTGCCTATTCCTCCAGAGTGAGGAGTCTGCAGGGCCGAGGGAACATGCCCATCAAAGCCATCAAAGCCATGCTCACCCTCTTCATATCTGGACCAAACTGTGAATACAGAAGATCTCAATTTTCCCTGCTGAAACAGCCCTAGGACTGCTTCTGGGGCCTGCATGGACTTTGTCCTCAGAGTTGTTTCTCCTGAGCATGAATTGAACTGCCAGTGATACACTGCTATGAGATGGTCAAGGAGTGAGCTATGTGCGGGAGGATGGAGCTTGCGTGTACAGGCTAGGGTGTACCCTCACAGTGCGGGGCAGAGCCTGGGGCAGGAAGAGAAAATGCGTATCCAGGGCTGGCTCTCCCCGTGTGACGTCATCTGGCACGGTCAGGAACAGGACTGAGTTGCAATAAAGGGACGTTGAAGATTGGCCCGGTGGGATTTCAGAACTGCTGTGGACTCCACTGTATGTCCTGTTTCCCCTCTTTGACCAGGGATTTCTTCAGCAGTTTCTGTGTGCCTAACCTACTCTGTGTGTTGGATATGTGTATGTGTGGGAGTAGGCAGCTTCTCTTTAGTTCATAGATCTTCAGATTAAGGGGAACTTTATAGGAACTGCTGTACTTAAAGAAACTACACCAGAGAAGCCTCTTGCTGATACTGTGAATGTGGAGATTTGAGGGAGGTTTTAGGAGGGAGTTAGTGTATTTTCTGTGTAGAAGAAATGTAAGTAATGTGACCACAGTGTTGACTATGATAGTTTAAAATATATCCAAATCCAATTAAAATATATCCAAACAACAAATTCTTTGACACGCCTTTCAAAAGGAAGACTAATTTTAATTTCTCTTGCCTTGAGGGTAGACTAGTCTTAGTTAACTCACTTCTAACAAACAGAATAAGGCAGATGTGATTTCTGAGATGGGATCATGTAAGAAACTGTGGGTTTTGTCTCTCTTTGGGATCACCAGCTCTAGAAGGAACCAGGAGCTTTGTCAGGAAGACACTCAAGCAGTCGTTCTATGGAAATAGCCACGTGGTGAGGAACGGAGGCTTCTTACCAAGAGCTACACGAGGGAGCCACCTTGGAAGCCAATCAGATAGCACAGTCAGTCCTTCACATGACTAGGCCCAGCTAGAACCTTATGGGAGGCCCTGAGCCAGAACTACTCAGCTAAGCTTAATTTTTAACCCATGGTAAGTTTCAGGTACTAAAATGCTTGTTGTTTGAAGCTATCAAGTTTTGGGGTGATTGGTTACACAGTAATAGTAACTAACAGTCAATCTTGACCTCTCTTGACCACTCCTTAGGATGTGATACTGCTCAGCACTCCCTCTCCCATTGAGGCTTCCAAGAAGGTACTTCCCCTTGAGTTTTTTTTTTTTAACCTGGCCAGTCTTTATCAGTTTTCTTCATTAGCTTTGGACGTGAGTACTCAGACATATTTACTGAATACAACTTTGAAATAAATTGCCATGATTCTGCTCCTGGTTATTTGGTATTGTGTACATTCCTTGGAGTTGTAGAGGGTGAAGCCTCAGATCTATGTTCTGTGGCACAGTGAAATTCTTTGGGGGTTATAAATGCTAGACAGTTCACAGAGTGCGTAAGTCCCACTGCAAGTAACCAAGGTACCTGAGCAGAGTCTAGGTTTTTTCTGGGAGGTGGTGTATTATGCTGCAGTTGTGATGGGATGGCATTCTCTGCCAGGAGCCTCACAGTAGCATCAAACATGGCCTGAGCAGACCAATTCCTTGTGGAACCAGGCTGATTTCAGACCAACCTGTTTGTGCCTGAATGAAGGAATTAACTAGTGCTTCTGGTGCTTGCGCTTCTCTTGTGGCTCAGCTGGTAAAGAATCTACCCACAATGTGGGAGACCTGGGTTCCATCTCTGGGTTGAGAAGATCCCCTGGAGAAGGAAAAGGCTACCCACTCCAGTATTCTGACCTGGAGAATTCCATGGAGTATACAGTCCATGGGGTCACAAAGAGTCGGACACAACTTAAAAGACTTTCACTTCACTTCTTCTAGTGCTTGAACTCTTACCAGCAAAGACTCATTCTATACAATGAGTAATCCCAACCACAACGAAGCAAGATTGCTGGCTGGGGTTGCTCTGGGAGGGAAATCCAACAGCCTGCAGCTTTTTATTCAGGTTTACATTGTGGAAGCCTATCTAATTATCCTTTTTTCCTGGTTTAGGAGGATATGGAACCTTGGCAGCATTTGAGCAGAGGTGACTTTCAGAGCCAGAATCCGGGAAGGAAAAAAGTCTTTGCTCATAGTCTATGGTTGTTAATGGCTATTAAAGGCCACTTCATCTCATTTAAACTTAAAAGAAGCTGGGGTACAGAGGGGATAAATTGCTGATAGTTGCGATAGATTCCGAAGCCTAAACTTACTCTACTTACATCTCATTAGACGGTTCATTTTTTCTTATTCCCTTGGTTCTCCCACTCTTCTTGCACACCCAGTGAACTTGAGTGCAGCGTTCTAATGCTTGGTCAGCATGTTTCCTAAAATTTCCAGCAGGAGTGACTCATTAAAACATCTTCAGTTCTCTGAGCGTGTAAGGCAATCGTACCTCTAACCTGGACAGGAGCGGCAGAAAAGGAACCCTAGGGCCTTAGCCCGGGTGGGGGCGGGGGATCGAGGCAAGGCGGGGCACCCCGAGACAGGCTCAAGTTTGTTCAGGGAGGGGCAGCCCAAGAGATCTCAGGTCGAGCCCGGCTCAGCAGGGCAAATACGCCGAGGTGGGAGGCGGGAGGCGGGACCTGGATAAGGAGTGCCCGAGGGCAGGAGGTGCGCCTGTGCTCACTCCTTTCTCCCAGGGCCGGGAGGCAGACAGGGGTTCTCGGAAGTGCACGCTGCACACGCTCAGTGTAAAAGAGGTAGTGCTCAGCTGACTCCTTCCTAGACTGGGGATTGGCTCTGCAGGGTGTGCGAACCACAGGGGAGAAAGGCAGTTGGAGAGACGTACGTGACCGGGGGGTGTGCAGCCGCGCCCAGTCGCGCCGAGCTCCGCGCAGGCACGCGCCTGACGCCCCGCCCCGCCCGTGACGTGCGCGCGCGGGGCCTCCACCCCATCCCCCACCCGCGCGTTACCCACCGCGCTGCCTCCGCCGTTCCCCGCCCCCTCCCCTCTGGAGCTGCCCTCGTCGCTGCCTGACCCGAGGTCCGGCAGCTTCTACTTTTCCGGCCCCCGCCGAGGGACCGAGGCGGCCCACCCCAGGGGAACGGGTGCGCTCGGGACACGTGGTCGTTTCGGAGCAGGTTGGAGTGAGCAGCGGGCGGCGCTGCGGGGACAGGCGCGGCGGACAGCCCCAGGGGTAGCGGCAGGGTCCTGGCGGGGGGGGGGACAGGGTTGCGGCGGGCGGAACGGTGTCTCCTTCAGTTCGCCCTCCAGCCGCGGCAGCTGCAGCCTGACGCCTAGCGAGCCGAGCGGCCTCAGCTGCTAGCGGAGCGTCAGCGGCGCCTTCCTTCCCCCCCCCCGGAGACCACCAGGTATCACCACGCCCGCCTCACTCGGACCCTGGGCCTAGGCCCCGGCGGCCAAGCAGGACGCCTGAGTCGGACTCGGGGTCGGCCCTGACTCCCTAAGATGGCCGCGCTGCCCCGCGGCCCCTCTTCCCGATGCCTGAGACCCCCTTCTGGCCCCTCGATTCGCTTTTGACCCCCGCTGACCGCACTTCTTGTCCCTCCCTCAGATCACCTCTCCCCTCGGCCTCGCCATGGCGACCTACGGACAGAACTGCGCGCGGCGTAAGTCGAGTGGGGTTCTCTGCGGGGTGGGGCGGCGGTGTCCTGGCAGCCGAAGCCTGTTGACCAGAAAACCTCAGCTTCTTTCCTCTTATCTCTCCAAGGGCTTGTAAACTCACCCCTTTCGGTAGCCAGTCCGCTGTCTGACTTCCCTGGCTCTGCGGAGGAGGGTGTGAATGGCATGGATTTCGGATAGGGGGACTAGGCCTGGGGAGTTGGTCTGTGGCCGCATTCACCTTCAGTTTTTGGACGTGCGTTTGATGAACTCGGAAGCAAAAAGTTATTAATTGTCGGATTCAGCCTTTGGAGGATTGGGCCGGTCACTTTTTTAGAGGAAGTAGTAACCTCCTTCTAAGAGCGCAAGGTCATTACATGTGCTCCTAAGGGCGTGGACGTGCTGTGTAGAATGAATGAGCTGGTGTGGCGAGCTCAGATTGCTTGCCCTTAAGCCTCATCGCATTGGCCGATTACTTGAGTGTCATATTAATATGTTTAAAGTGTATTGGATGTTTAGTTGATGCAGACGCCTGAGTTAAACATAGGTAGCTGCATTTTTTTAAGTTCCAATGTTTAGGTTGCCCAAATATGAATTACTTTTTTCTTTTCATTCTAGAATATTGTTTTGGCCTCAGTGCGGATACTAAAGGATGAATGGGGGAGGGAAGGGGACATGTCTTAGTATTTTATTTTATCTCATTTGGTTAAATTGGCCCATTCCAGCCAATTTTGGCAGATATATCTTTACGTATAGGTATATATCTGTATGTGTTCGATTTTTTTGTGCTAGTCCCGTCCTAGGAAGTGAGGTTATAAGCACTGTGTAAATTTAGGAATAGAAAGTCCCAAGTTTGTATAGCTACTTAACTGTTACTCTCCATTTTAGAAATAAGCACTTTGGTGCTGATATCTCCCTCATGGAGTTTTGTTGTAGTTTTATTGTAGTTTCTAGTGGTTTCAAAACCAAGTTGGCCTGTTCGGATTTAATGATAGCAGTGGGTCCTAAGCTAGTTTTTGGACAGACTGGGAGAACAAGGACATTAACACAGGAATGTTTCTTCCCACCAGCAATGTGTATTCCTCCATCATATGCTGACCTTGGCAAAGCTGCCAGAGATATTTTCAACAAAGGATTTGGTAAGAACTGTTTAAAAAATTTTAGATTAGAAGTGAAAATGTTTAAGTTTGGACTGCTTGGTGAAATTAATAATTTCTTCAGATAACTTTTCTGGTGAAAAAGTACTGTAACAATCTACATTCCCCCTTCATCCCAGTTTTCTCCATTGTTTCAAGAAATTTATTTTTAAGGAAAAAAAATTTTTTTATGCTTTTATTTACTTTCAGTGATACAGTTTAGGTCTTGGTTGACTAGAATGATGTTTTTTTTTTTTTTTTACTGTTTTTGGCTTTTATGGTGGTGACTCCTAAAGGATTATGGGGGTTTTCAAATAAATTTGGGTTTTCTTGAAGATTTTGTTCCATACCTCAGCGTCCCTATCCTTTAACTTTTTTGAAGTTGTTTAGATTATTAATTCCAAAGTGCGGTATGCCTTTGGGACAAATGTTGTAAATGCCTGTATTATTATAAGTTGTTGACAATTCTTGTATTTAAATTAAATTGATTGATCTGATATTTAGGTTTGAAAAGCTTTCTTTAGTACGTGCTTTATTAAAAATGACTTGAAAGCCTTTTTGAGGGTGGGTGCCAAATACACATCGACACACTAGGCAAAGCTTCCTGGAGATGTTCTGTCCTTTACATGTTAGTTTATAGAATAATTAAAATTGTTTTCATTTAAATACTGTATATTAACACATATTTACCTTCCTCTAAATGTGTGATTTTTTTTTTTTAATGTAGAGTCAGCCATTGGTGTGCATCTTTTTGTACAAAAGAATCATTTTGTTCTTTTTTGCTTTCTACTTGAAGGTTTTGGGTTGGTGAAACTGGATGTGAAAACAAAGTCCTGCAGCGGCGTGGTGAGTGTTAGGTATTTGATAAGTAGTGACAAACTTCTGTGTAACTTTTCAGCACATAAAATAGTCATAACTGAAAGATGTCTACCCATTTTATTTTAAAGAAGATAATTTCATTTTAAAAGAATTTTATCTTGATTTATTTTGGCTTTAGATAATGATTTCTGATTTTCATGTGTTTTGCCATGCACAAGAAATTCAGAAAAGACACTTAGTCTTGTGGTATTCTGTTTACTCAGTAAGATTGCAAGCCTGAAGGTAGGAAACTTGTTACACTTTTTTTGTGACCCATTTAATACCTTTGAAAAGCATTCAGGGAGACTTCCTGTTGGTCCAATGGCTGAAACTTCCATGTTTGCAGTGCAGGGGGCCTGGGTTTGATCCCTGGTCAGGGAACTAGATCCCACATGCCACAATTAAAGGATTCCCCATGCTGTAACTAAAAAGAGGATCTTGTATGCTGCAGCTGAGACCCAACACAGGCAAATGAATAGATAAATATCTTTTGAAAAAAGGAAAATTACTTAAGAGTCATGAAAAATATTCAATAACTTTTAATTTGAGTATAATAATTATTTATATAGTGGTCATAATCTAGCAGCCCTCCTTAGGGGGAAATTTCCACCTGTATTTTGTGAATTTAGAGAGTCTTAAATTTGAGTATTTTTAAAGAGGCTAATATTTTGATATTTGGATGTCTTGATTCTGCCTAACAAACTCCCTCAAAGAGAGTAAAGTAAAATTAAATTTTGTGTAATTTTTTTTTCTCCTAAATTTTTTTGAGATTCTTTAGGGGATGAGTATAGTGTGTGCATGTTGAATGTTATTATTTTGATAAATTCTTTCTATAGTTAACTCCCTTAGTGTATGCAATTGGTATTTACTTAAATTAATAATTTTGTAGTTTCTTTCTTTTTTTTTTTTTTAAATTTTGTAGTTTCTTAATGCCTAGATTTGGATTTCTGGGGTTTTATATTGGTCACATCTGTTTGGTTTCTTTGGTCAGAAAGGAAGCCTGAGTATTCATTGTGGATGAGTGACTTACTAGCTCAGGGTAACAGGTTACAGAGAGCAGTGACTTGGTGTTTGTGTTCACTCTAAACTTGTTGGCTTCTTTTAAACAAGTTGCTGAAACACAAAAACCCTTCTTAAAAAAAGTAGAAGAATCAGTTCTAGTGTTTAAAATTTTACTTGCTGGCTGAAGGGACAAAAATCAACTTTAAACTGGGGAATAATCAGATCAGTATATCTAGTACTAGATTGTTTGATAAATCAGAATCTTTGAAACAAAAGGCTTATGGTGGACAGGAATTTTATGAGATTAGACTTAAGAACATGAGGGTTTATAGAAGCTTGATTAGATACAGTATGTTTTAATTTACATTTAATGTATGTAATTCAAAAACATTCTACTGATCTTAAAATAGGTAGGACTACTACCTGGCCCCAAGTAGTCCCATTAATGCCTGGTTCTGTTTTCCCACCTGAATTGCAAAGATGTCAGGGTTACCCCAGAATGTAGAAGCCTAAGTGTCTTCATGAGGAGTGAAAGATACAAGCTTTGCTGGTCGTATCATCTGACTCAATTCTGATCCCAGATCATAGTGTGATCTTCGTTTTCTGTCTTGAGCACTCCTAGACTTGTACTCAGCATGTATATAAGCTCAGTTTATGGGCTGTTGGGTGGCAGTGGGTGGGACCTCAAGAATCATTAATCATTGTCATTCAGGGTTAGAACACAGCTCCATATATTTTATATTGTTTTAATAATGTATTCCTTTCGTGTTCAGTTCAGTCGCTCAGTCATGTCCGACTCTTTGCAACCCCATGAACCACAGCACGCCAGGCCTCCCTGTCCACCAACTCCTGGAGTCCCAAACCCAAACCCATGTCCATCGAGTCGGTGATGCCATCCAACCATCTCATCCTCTGTCGTCCCCTTCTCCTCCTACCCTCAATCTTTCCCAGCATCAGGGTCTTTTCCAATGAGTCAGCTCTTCGCATCAGCTGGCCAAAGTATTGGAGTTTCAGCTTCAACATCAGTCCTTCCAATGAACACCCAGGACTGATCTCCTTTAGGATGGACTGGTTGGATCTCCTGCAATCCAAGGGGCTCTCAAGAGTCTTCTGCAACACCACAGTTCAAAAGCATCAATTCTTCTGCACTCAGCCTTCTTTATAGTCCAACTGTCACACCCATACATGACCACTGGAAAAACCATAGCCTTGACTAGACAGACCTTTGTTGACAAAGTAATGTCTCTGCTTTTTAATACCCTTTTGTGTAGAGCATGTGAAAATATGCAAAACTTTCACAGAATCAGACCCATTTAATCCTCCAGAGGTAGGAGGTTTAAACTTTTTAAAGTTACGATATCTGAGACCTGGAAAAGTGTCTTCCTTAGTGTTACTCATTTAGTAAATACCAGCCAGAATTTGATATCAGGACTCCTAATTTTACATCCAGTGTTCTTTGCTAACACAATCTGGTGCTTTTTACTATGAGCATTGAGTGCCAAGCTTTGACTCAGTTTCTATTAATGAAAGCAGCTAATTTCAGGAGATAGTGTATAAGACCTAAAGAATTGAGTCTGTGTCACTGCAGAGCAGCAGTTGCACAAATGATGTTTTGTAAGTGAAAGATGATTGCTCTTTTCTCTGATGGATACAGTTTTGGATATTTCCTCATTCTGCAAGTATCACAATTTCAGGTTGAAATCCTCTTATCTCTTAAAAGTTCAGATCGGCCATTTTTAAATTTGGCTTTCCCATATAGAGTATAACATTGGTAGTCAAATTAGAACCCTCAAGGCATTTTAATATTTTATCTTGGAAGAGTTCAACTGCTTGCCTGTATATTATGCTCATAAAGATTAGATTTCTGGATTATCTGTAGCAGATTTTAAATTTCAGATAAGCTCTTTCCATATTATACCTTCCTTTTCAGTCGGTGTACAGTTAGGGATTGGCAAGTTACTTACATTTGCTACAAACAAGATTAAATGATATATTTCAAATTAGTCACTGCACAGATTTTTCTCTAATGATCATCTGTTCTACAGAGTATAGTTTATATTATGGATAATATGAACCAGTTATAGGGAATTTCCTTCCACCAATTTTTTTTTTTGAAAATGTGAAAGGTGATTGGAAAGGCATAGAACCTGATGAAGACCGTGTCAGAAAAACAGAATATTGAGGTTACCAAAGAATTGAAAACTGTTTGTGTCATAGATTCTTTCAGTGGAGTGCTTTCCTTTTAGGGATTTTCAAGGGACCGTTTCATAGTAAATTGTGTGTAAACTGATTTTAATGGAGGGAGTCTGTGATTAGCCATACTGACCTATTTAGTGTTTCATTGAATATCAGGTAGATTGGAAGCAGTTCTAAAATATCCATTCACTATCCCTTTGCCCCCAGTGGTTTTTTTTTTTTAAACTCAGATTCACTTTAGCAGAAATTTCCTTAAAAACTTCATAGTTTGTTGTCTACTTGAGAATCATATTCAAGTAACTTTTGATCCATTGGTTGAAAATGTCAGTGGTAACAAGATGGTAGTCAGTAATTAACAGGCTAGTTTGTCACTCTTGTATTTACTCAGTAGCAGGGGGTTAGGAGTGCTTGGGAAGCTAGAAAAAGGGATTCGTGAATCACTAAGGGTTTCAGCGGGGTTGTGTAAGTTAGAAAGTTTATTACCGTAGGCTTACAAGAAAGTTCCTGAACTTGTTTATTGTCTTGTTAGGAATTCTCAACATCTGGTTCATCTAATACAGACACTGGTAAAGTTACTGGGACCTTGGAGACCAAATATAAATGGTGTGAGTATGGTCTGACTTTCACAGAAAAGTGGAACACTGATAACACTCTGGGAACAGAAATCGCTATTGAAGACCAGGTAACATTTTGAAAATGTGCTTTAGTATTAATTATTTTTGTGTTTCAAGAAAGAAATAAACTGAAAACAAATTCTTTTTCTCTTGAAATAGATTTGCCAAGGTTTGAAACTGACATTTGATACCACCTTTTCACCAAACACAGGGTAAGCACGGGCATTTTTGTCTGCTTTAAGTTTAAAGCTTTCTTCAGTGTATTTAAGGAAGGTGCACATTCAGATATCTTGTGTTGTCAAATTTCTGTTTCTCCTTTTGGAGTGTGAGCAGTATGGTTCTTGGCTTGCCTTCAGCTATTTGCCTTTTATCATTGTGGCACTAACTTAGAATGAACATTATTTATTTTTAAATAGGTTTTTGTGACTGATTGCAGCTCTGCAAAGCATTCTTCGTATAGTGGTGGCAATCTAGTCGCCCCAGGTGCCTTTGTCTTTTAGTTTATGGAGCTGTGGGTTTTTTTTTTTTTCCTCTTTTTTTAGTTTCTTATGATTATCCTGCTACCTGTTTGGAGGCATACCTTAGAGATATTGGAAGTTTGGTTCCAAATCAATGTAGTAAAGTGAATATTGTGAAAAAGCAAGTCTTCCAGATTTTCTAGTTTCCCAGTGCATATAAAAGTTCCTTTTACACTAGATTATTGACTAGTAAGTGTAAAATAGCATTATATTGGGGGAAAAACAATATACATACCTTAATTTGGATGGCATCACTGACTCGATGGACTTGAGTTTGAGGAAATTCTGGCGTGTTGCAGTTCATGGGGTCGCAAAGAGTCAGACATGACTGAGCGACTGAACTGATACCTTAATTAACTTAAAAATGCCAACCTTCATCTGAGTCTTCAGTAGTAACATCAAAAGATCAGTGACCACAGATCACTGTTACAAACATAGTAATAATAAAAATGTTTGAAATGTGAGAATTACCAAGACGTCACACAGAGGCACAAAGTGAACAAATGCTATTGGAAAAAACATCAACAGATTTGCTTGATGCAGGATTGCTGTAAACCCTTAATATGCGTGTGTGTGGGGAAGCACTATAAAGTGAACTTCAATAAAACAATGAAGTATGTCTCTACTCCCCATTATAATGAGATTCATGTAAATCTGTTTTGTACCCTCTTGACTGTAAATCTTTCTTAGTGGCTTCAGTTTTAAGTCAGTCTGTTCTTTTTCTAGAAAGAAAAGTGGTAAAATCAAGTCATCTTACAAGAGGGAATGTATAAACCTTGGTTGTGATGTTGACTTTGATTTTGCTGGACCTGCAATCCATGGTTCGGCTGTCTTCGGTTATGAGGGCTGGCTTGCTGGGTACCAGATGACCTTTGACAGTGCCAAATCAAAGCTGACAAGGAATAACTTCGCAGTGGGCTACAGGACTGGGGACTTCCAGCTACACACTAATGTGTGAGTATTTCTTTTTTGAGTTATTATGATGTGGGACCTCAGTGGTGGTGCTGTCTCCTGTTATCTCTGAATCTTGGTACAACCTAAAGGAGTTCTCTTAACATAAAAAGATCATCTTTGGGCATTTCTTGAATGCCCTCCCAGAAGTGTATAGAAATGTTATTTTGTATAAAAAAATATTACTCTGAATTTTAGTGCTGAGAGAGTGAATGTTCATTTCACATGAGGCTTGATGTGCTTGGGATTTTTGGGAGAGGCTAAGACAGGGTCTCCTTGGTGGTCTGGTGGTTAGGATTTTTCACTTTCACTGCCATGGCCTGAGTTCAGTCCCTGGGCGGGGACCTGAGATCCCACAAGCTGCACAGTGTGGCCAGGGGAAAAAAAAACTAAGATACTGCCAAATTGTAGTAGTGCTTTCATTTAATTGTGATGTGTAAGGTGCTCATTTGATAGGATTGCCTAAAGTGTATAGCGTTTTTTCTTAACCCAAAGTAAATGTATATGTGGAAAGGACTTAAAGAATTTTTTCCCTTACAAAAATGATGCATTGGTATGTAACAGAAGTAAAATAAGAAAACCAAAATTGTCCACAATCCCACCACCTAGATGTATAATTTTTGTTAACTATTAATGCTTTGATGTTTCACCTTTTTATATGTGTGTATATAAAAATACATGCCAGAAAGACTGTTTCATAATCTTCACTACATTAATGTATTATGATCATTTTCCTATAGCGTTATGTATTCTTAGTGATTGTTAGTGGCTGCGTGGTAATTCTGCTGAATGGATATACCATGATTTATTTGACCAATTCGTGTTTTTAAAACTTTAAAGTTTTCAGTGAAACACTAGAGACCCATGTAAGCAATGGCTTTTATTTAAATGTAATGCTATGGTGTCAGCCATGTGCCTTAGACATTATTACATTGTCTAGTCTAGATTGACTAATTTAAAATATCTCATAGCAATGATGGTACAGAATTTGGAGGATCAATTTATCAGAAAGTATGTGAAGATCTTGACACTTCAGTAAACCTTGCCTGGACATCAGGAACCAACTGCACTCGCTTTGGAATTGCAGCTAAATATCAATTGGATCCCACTGCTTCCATTTCTGTAAGTACTCTTGTGGGCTTAGAATGGGATTTTCATTGTGGGACTTAATCTTTGGATATATTATGTGTTGAAAATTGTAACTGTGGTTCACTGACTTCCCAGTTTATACACAGGTTGAGATTAGAGCTCTGAATGCTGGTTTTCCTGTGGAGATGGTGTTAGATGTTTGATGTCCAGGCCACAGCAGTGTGTTTTAATTAACCTCAAAGCTACTGAAGTAGTACAAAAAGTCAGTGTTGGTCGCTCAGTTGTGTCTGACCCTCCGCGACCCCATGGACTGTAGCCCTCAGGTCCTTTGTCCATGGGATTCTCCAGGCAAGAATACTGTTGCCATTCCTTTCTCCAGGGGATCTTCCTGACCTCGGAATTAAACCCAGATCTCCTGCATTGCCGGCAGATTCTTCACTGTCTGAGCCACCCCGGAAGCCCACTGAAGAGTGTAGATGATAACCCTGAGGCCCAGTCCTGTCCAGGCCCGGGGAAGCCAGTGTTTTGGGCCCTGGGAAGTTATCATTCTTGTTGGGAACTAACAGTATTATGTTACTTTGTGTCTGACCTTAATAGTTCACAAAATATCTTCTGATTTGATCTGAGCAGCCAGTGGTACACATGCTGTTTTGCAGGTGAAGAAACTAAAGCTTAGAGAGGAGAAGGACTTAGTCCACTGCTAGGGAGGGAAAAAAGAAGGGATAGTACAGGACTGGACATGCAAGTACATTGAAAGACATGCAAGTCTTTCAATTTCCCTCCTGCCTAGGGTGTCCAGGTAGCTCATTTTGCTTTGCCTGGGACTATCCCAGCTTTAGCACTAGAAGTCCTATGGGAAGTTCCTCCCCTTCAGGTTAATTGAGTTGCATGGCCACCTTAGTCCTGTGCTTGGACTCCTGCTGTTTCTTCCTTCAGTCATAGTGGATTGTGGTAGGAGGGAGTGCAGCGTCTGAGGGTGTGGAGCACTGGCTCCAATTTCAGGCGGGTCAGCAACTATTCTGTGTGTTGGTTGGTTACAGGTCAGGCACTGTTTGTACTGGAATGAGAATTAAACCTTCATGAGAGTTACTTCTGTTACATAAAATGATGTTCATTCCTGGGGCAATATGTTTTAATAATTTAGGCAATTAAGTTTTAACCCCATTCTTGTTTCTTAGCAGAGTTGTTATCAGAGAGAATGAGAAGCACCCAGAATGCTTCTCCCATTGGCAAAACAGGGATTAATCATTTATTTTCCCCTTCTCTGTTTCTAACTACACCTTAGCAGTAAAACCCTCAGGATTCACACTATGCTGTGGTAGCTGCATTGCTGTTCTTTTCAAATGTTTGTCTCTGGCACCCTCACAGGTTTAATATCAGCAGAAGATACAACTCTTTCACAGTCTAAAATGGGAAGAAGGCAGCTTGGGACTTGTGTATCAGTGAATGACTTCTGAGGATTAATTTGGAAATGTATTTAGCATATCCCACCTAAGTTGTGCTGCTATTACCATAATCAAGCATCACCCCTGAAGCGTTGCATAATGCTCCATAAGTTTTGTGGTTGATTCCTAAAATAGTAGGAGCTATTTTATTGTCTGGGCTCTTGATTTGTTTGGCAGGCTTCCCAAGAGGCGCAGTGGTAAAGAATCCTTCTGCTAATGCAGGAGATGCAAGTTTGACCCCTGGGTTGTGAAGACCCCCTGAAGAAGGGAAGGGCAACCCACTCCAGTATTCTCACCTAGAAAAATCCCATGGACAGGAGCTGGGCGGGCTGCAGTCCACAGGGTCACAAAGAGTTGGACACGACTGAACTGCTCAGCACACTTGATTCATTTGGCACAAGATGGTTACTGGTGGGCATTTCTTCCTTAGATAACTAACTCACATGGTCATTGGAGGCTCATGAAGACTTGGCTCTAGTGCCAAATGAGTACAAGTGTCATTTATGTGACTTTTGCCTGTATGTTATAATTTCTCGTTTGGGCTGTTATGATACATTGCAGAAAAAGTGTAGATGTCAAATTATTTCCAAGTCTCTTTAGATCCCAGAGACTGCTTGTTACCTTTTTGTTTCCATAGCACTCAAAATGCTGAAGAGCAAAGGCACCTGACTAGGTAACCAGGCCATTGGAGATTGGGATGAGATGATCCCACTACAGCCATAGGCCTCTGGTGTGGCTTTAATGGTCTGAGAAGTGGGGAGAACGGAGCTAGAAGCTTCTGACCGTGTCTTGCTCTGCAGAATTCTCGTAGCCTTTGAAAGTCTGTGACTAAAATCCTAAAATAGTGGAATTGTACAGGGCGGGTAGGGATCTGCACTGGTCAATAGTGCTCCGTTGGAACATCTTCTGAAGTACAATCTAGTTATATGCAGCCAGGACCTAGGTTTGTTCATGAGAAGTGTAGGAAAGTGAGGTAAAGAAGTTGTAGTCAGTCTGTTTCTTCAGAGGAAGTGCTTATCATTTGGAGGTTTAGAGCATGCATGGTTTAGATTCTTAAGGAATACCCTTGAAAGTAGTGTTTTATAGTCACAAATTTAAACTATACACATGCCATATTTTGAAGGTGGTGTGTATGTCATATTGTGTAGTTAGCCTGGTAAACTTCAATTACTCACATACTGGTGTGGTTTTGTTGTGTTAGATTCACCAAGAACAGTTTTTATGAGAGTACTTAGGCTTTTGTGCTCTGTGGACAATTTTAGGGTCTGTAGGTACATCATCAAAGATAGCAAGAGTTTTGTGTCCTCCTGACAATTGAGTTTAGTAGATAAGAATTAAGTGGGGCCTGGTTTTTACTTCAGTTCAGTTCAGTTGCTCTGTCGTGTCCGGCTCTGCAACCCCATGGACTGCAGCATGCCAGGCTTCCCTGTCCATCACCAGCTCCTGGAGCCTACTCAAACTCATGTCCATCACGTCAGTGATGCCATCCAACCATCTCTTCCTGTGTTGTCCCCTTGTGCCTTCAGTCTTTCCCAGCATCAGGGTCTTTTCCAGTGAGTCAGTTCTTTGCATCAGGTGGCCAAAGTATTGGAGCTTCAGTGTCAGTCCTTCCAATGAATATTCAGGACTGATATCCTTTAGGATTGACTGGTTGGATCTCCTTGCAGTCCAAGGGACTCAAGACTCTTCTCCAACACCATAGTTCAAAAGCATCAATACTTCGGCACTCAGCTTTCTTTATAGTCCAACTCTCACATCCATACATGACTACTGGGAAAAAAAGCTGTGGTTTTTATAGCTTTTACTAGGCATACCTTTGTGAGGTGTGGGTTGGTGGTGGCCTGCTGCAGGGTCGAGGGCATTGACCTTTTGAAGGTCAATGTGCGTGCATAGGACTTTTTGAAGGAGGTCGCCATTATTTTCATTTCCTCCACCTTGGTTTGGTCTTGGATCAAGCAACAGGGAGGGAACACAGCCCCACCCATCAATAGAAAATTGAATTAAAGATTTACTGAACATGGCCCACCCATCAGAACAAAACCCAGTTTCCCCCTGAGTCAGTTTCTCTCATCAGGAAGCTTCCATAAGCCTCTTATTCTTATCCATCAGAGGGCAGACAGAATGAAAACCACCATCACAGAAAACTAACCAAACTGATCACATGGACCACAGCCTTGTCTTGCTCAAGAAAACGTTGAGCCATGCCATGTAGGGCCACCCAAGACGGATAGGTTATGGCGGAGAGTTCTGACAAGATGTGGTCCACTGGAGAAGGGAATGGCAAACCACTTGAGTATCCTTGCCTTGAGAACCCTGTGAACAGTTAGAAAAGGTTTTTGCTTAACTTAATACAATATTAAATTTTATTATCTCACATGGAAAAGTGAACATGTCATGATTGTATGATAGGGAAATACCTAGGGCCTTTGTGTCTCCATTCAAAAATTTGTCTTACATTTGTTTTTGCATTTTATCTTAGGCAAAAGTCAACAACTCTAGTTTAATTGGAGTGGGCTATACTCAGACTCTGAGGCCTGGTAAGTTTTAAGGATTGTTCTGATGGTATTTTCAAAATCAGTTTTCATTTCTCAGCTTCTTTTATAAAACTTTCAAACATACAGAAGAGTTGACAAAAGTACAATGAACACATGTTTACCTTTTGCTATAATATTTTCTTCTTTTTTTTAATGCTGGGCCATTTGGAAGTTGACATTTCCCTAAATGGTTTAGCATGCAAACATTGTCCTTCATAAGCACAAGACTGGTTATTTACTTTCTTCGCTTGTACCTGAAATGTCTTGTAGTAATTTTTATCTTTCCAGTCATTGTTCACTGATTGCTTTGGTCGTTTGATCTCTAGAGTCTCATTTACTTTACATAATAATTTGAACCTTGCTTGTTTTCCAAAGCAGTACTTCTTTAATACCAGGGTGCATGAATCACTTTGGGAATCTTATTAGAATACATAGATCTGGGGTATGGGGTTCTGTCTTTCTAATAAGCTCTTAGGTGATGCCAGTGTCACTGGCTCTTGAACCAGCATTTGAATAGCAGGGTTCTGAAGCACTTGGAACTTTTCCCGATACTTTGACTATTCTGAAACCTGAAGAAAAGAATGGTGCCACGAACACTCATCTTCCCTACATTGACCAGTTACTAACATTTACCGTGTTTGTTTTCTCCCTCCTTGTCTGTATACATAATCCTTTTCTCTTTTTTACCCACATATTCTTACAAATTAAATGTATATTTTGCAAACATACAGACACATCAGCCCTAGCATACATATGAGAGTAAGACATTTTTAACTGCATCACTTTAAAGATGTCATTAACTACAATACTATTTTCACAGCTAAAGAAATGAAGAGTTTAATACCTAATATATAGTCAGTGTGCAGATCTCCCTACTTGTCCCAAAGTGTGTCTTAGTTGTAGCTTTTTCTTTTCTGGGGTCCAAATTGTCTTTTAGTCTGGATAGTGTATTGAACATGATTGAATTTTCTAGAGCCATTTTTGTTTTTGTTTTTTTTCACACTGTTTGAGCTTGATGCACATTTTCATGCTCTGTGACTTGATGCTTCCCTTGCTCAGGACCGAGCCATGTGAACTGTCTGGTCTCTCGGGTACTCCCAAGTGCCCTCTGGTGGCTGGCACTGAGAAAAAGTGACAGGCTGTGAGGTGACTGCTGACTCCCATGAGGTGTTGCAGGTACATGATGCTTGTCTGCTTTTGTTTACAGGTGTGAAGCTTACACTGTCTGCCCTGGTAGATGGGAAGAGCATTAATGCTGGAGGCCACAAACTTGGGCTTGCCCTGGAATTGGAGGCTTAATTCAGCTGAAAGAAACCTCTGGAAATGGGTATCAGAAGATTTGGCCTTAATATATTTCCAGTGTGACCAGCAGGCTTCCCCCCGCCACCCCCCTGAAGGTGATCAAAACAAAGGATGATCTAAACAAGAGCTGTATTTTAAATATTTAGACAGTTACTTGTTAGCTGGTTTCTAGTTGAATTGGTTGTCTATCTAGTTACCAATACTGCAGTCATGCAGTCATCTATACATTATTTAAATGTATTTAACTGTTAAATGTGCTACCCACCAATAATGAAATAGACATTTATGAAAACTGTGCAGTTGTGTGCATGTTTGTTTTTATGTTCCTTTTAACATTGAATATTGCCGTTGAATGAGATGGATCAGTGGATGTCTTAAGGTTAAAATTTTTTGTTAAATTCAACCATCATTAGAATTACTTTTGGTATCCTGAAACATTACAAATTATGAATAAAATGAGTATACATTATTAATGACTCCAAGTATTTGCAGAGTTAAAAACTTGGTAGCTAGGGTCAAATATTCCTGGTAGTATACTTAGCTAGTATACTTAGTATACTTTACTTCTCCAGTGAGCATTCGTTTTGCTCTTTTTATAAATCTGTGCCACAGAGTCCTCTGACCTGAGAATAACTCCATAAAATGTTTAGACTACAGTATAAGAAGAAGATACATGACTTCATATCTTCAGTTTGTAAATATGTATAAACTTACATTGGATCATTATTAACTCCAGGAAGGATTAGTGAGTAAGTGACGAAGAGAGAGAAATGAAGGGATGGTGCTGAAGGTTGTATATACACACCATACCCCTTTGGGCTATTGCTATGGAAATGATTCAAGCCCTAGTTAGGTGGGATGGGACTAGGCGTAGGGAAGTGGAATAAGGAGTAGACAGTGGCAATACCCAGACAGTCTATATGGGCCCCAGTGAGAGGTCTAACTCATTTCTTTCCAGGTAGACACTGAAAAGCTTGGGCCCAAGTTTGTGACCACAGTGGCTTCAAGCTAGGTGGCCATTGGCCTTAATCTAAACTTGAACTGAATGATAGCAATTAATAGATGATTCTGGTTGGAAAAGTAGGAAAGAGGAATTTTGATGGGAGGAGAGTTGGAACAATATCATTGAAGGTTAGAGAAGAGTTTGGTTCAGCACATTCATAATACTAGATTTGTGGTATAGTTTGTCGTCAGAGAACAAATAAGAAAATGTAGTACTTGGACTCATTATCCAAAAAGTGATACATGCTGAAAATTTCCAGGTCAAGAAGACTCTGATAAGAGAAACCCAGATAAGCTGTCCACACAGATGGAATGTGGGGCACAGAGATCCCTCTGATTTTACTGTTTGTCCTAAGGGACTGGCTGGAATGGCCCACTGTATAAAACACAAACTTAATGGCAGTAAGTTGGGATCTGAACCAGTTTGTTTTGAGTCAGGACCTATTGCTAGGAAAGAAGAAAAACAAGAAAAGTCGGTGCAAGCTAGATATGAAAGTGTGTATACTTTAAAATGGACCTGTTCACCAATGTGCATCCTAGTATGCTTTTATGATTGGGAGAGAGGAAGATAGGTTTTCAACCAGGTTCCTAAGGGTTGTCTGAAATGCAGGGTATATCCGAGACGCCAAAGGGTTATGAAAGTTGTCAGCTGTGGGCTCATGGGGCTCCTGTGGCCTTAGTTCTAGCCTCTTCCAGGTTTACTTCTACCACCCAGGTTTACTTCTACTTCAGGGCTAATGTGGTGGCAAAACCTAATTGTATTCTAGGCTGAGGCTATTTCTGCGTGAGGCAATTTTAGTGCAAAGAACACTTCATATATGAGCCTGATCTTCATTTGTGGTGTAGAGGTTAGATCTTCCTACAGATTGGTGAGGTGTAAACAGGTTTAAACCAGAAGAGTGAAGCACCTGGCTCCCTCTCCCCCGCAGCTTACATAGGCTTATGGAAAACGTAACATTCTCTTTGTTTGCCTCTGGGGAACTTGTTAAAAATTGCCTCCTACCTATTGGACTGTCTGCTTCACACCTCTGGCCAGTGATCCCATGTCTCATGTTCCTCCAGGACTTCGGGGAGGACAATATATATACTCCAGTAACCCTGAGGCCCTCAGTCTGTCAAGTGGCCTGGTCTCAGGTGATGTTGACCAGGGCCTCTACTGCAGAGGTGAAGCCAGGTTCAGTTTTGTGAAGACGTGGGCACATGGCTAGCAGAATTGGTGTAGCCTACAACAGTACAGTGCAAGGACCCTTTCCTGCCACCGGATGCCAATTTGTTCTCCAAGAGTGTCCTGGATTCATTGAACAGGAACGTCATTCACTTGCTTCTCTTAGGAAGAGATGTAAAGAGGGAGTCCAAGAGGCCTCTATCAATCTTCCAGCCCTTAGGTCCCCTGGAGGTAAATCTCCATAAGGATCTGGGGTTTCTAACCAGTTGCATTTGGGCGGGTCAGTTAAAACTTGGTATCTTGCCTCCAGTCAGCTGGAAGCTCCTGTGGTGCCAGAGGGTCCTCAGGAGTGTGCCAGGGAGGGGATGAATATCTGTGGCCGCAAGGTTCCCTTTTGGTGAAGAAGTGGCCTTCGCTTCCTGCACCACTGAAGCACAAGATCGTGTCCCAGGCCTCACTTTATTGTCAGATTCAAAGCAGGCGCGGAATGGCTGGGGTTCCCAGGGCCCCTCCCTTGATGCCACTCACTAAGGGCCAGCCCTAGATCTTGAAGGCCAAGGTGAGGCCGTCGCCCAGGGGCAGGAGGCTGATGTGGACCCTGGCATCCCGCAGAATGCGCTCGTTCAGGTTTCGAACACGCTGGGCCGCCTTGTCCTGTGGTTTAGGCTGCAACACCTCTCCCTGACACAGGACCTGCGGAGGGGCGGGGCACTGTGGGGGCGGGGCCTGGGGAGCCTGCGCAGGGCGAGCGCTGGAGACCTCGGACCTGAGCAGGGCGGAATGGAAAGCCCGGGAACTCGGTTGGAATCCCTGAGGGAGGAGCTTAAGCCCCTGTATTGGGCGGGGCTTTGGAGCACCGGCGAGGAGAAGCCTGAGGAAAAGATGCACCCAGCCCAAGAGGGTCTCTTCTACCCCCCGGGGGCTGCCCCTTACACTGAGCACAGCGAGGACACCTCCGGGTCGCAGCAGCTGCAGACACCGCTCATAGTAGGCGGTGTAGTTTTCCTTATCGGCGTCCACCACGGCGACGTCGAAGGTGCCGGCCTCGCCCGCGGCCAGGAGCTCGTCTTGCGGGGGAGGAGGGGCAGAGGCGGCTGAGTCCGAAGGCCCCAGTAGCCAGCAGCCCCCGCCCAGGCCGGCCCAGGCGCCGTGGCCATTCAGGTACTCGAGGGCGCCGGCCTGCCACCCTGCGTGTGGCCGCGGATCGGGTGGCGGGGGGCTGTCACTGCCCAAGCCCGCCTGGCGGACCGGGACACTGGCTCGCGCCGGTTGGTCCCATTAGGGAAATGGCGCCCAGGCCCTTTCCACTCCGTTGCTCACCCAGGGTCTCCAGGGCGGGCTTCAACCGAAGGTCGATTTTGTGCTCCTCTTCAGCCTGCAGGAGTGGGGTCAGAGTCAGCATGTCCCTTCTCCCGGAGCTGGGAGTGGTAGGGTTCCAGCGGCCTGACGAGGTGTGTGGGACACTTACCTGCCTCCACAGGGGACGCCCCAGCTCGGGGGGCCCTGCGTCCACCTCGCAGGTCACCACGCACCCGGCCGGGGGAAGGGCCAAGGCCAACGCTAGGGCTGAGTAGCCTGTGAAAGTGCCTGGGGAAACGGACACGGACAGGCTCAGACCAGAGTTGGGGGACACCTCGGTGACGCCAGTCCCCGGTGTCCCCGACCGTGTGCCTACCCAGGTCCAGTGCCTTCTTAGCCTTGATGAGGCGAGCCAGGTTGGCCAAGAGCTGGGCCTGCTCACGGGTCATCATGGAATCCCCCTGCGGCTGCTCCAGGGTCAGCTGCGTCGGGGGAGGAGAGGGTCGCACTAGCTGTGCCAGTCACCCCTCTGTGCCCCAAGTTTAGAGCCTCAGGGGCGTGGCTATGGGCGTGGCTCAAGGGCAGACCCTCAGAACGCCTACTGTGCCCGGCCTGGGGAGCCCGGAAGCCCAGAAAGGGACATAGCCGCAGCCCAAGGTCACACGGCCACGTGGGTCCCTCCCTGCTCGAGCTGGGCGCCCAGTCCCTATCCCGGCCCTGCTGACCAGCCGCAGGCTCCGCAGCGCCGGGTGCTCCCGCATGGAACGGCTCAGCAGATACTGCCACAGGGGGCTGTCCTCAGGGGGCAGCAGGCTCTTCTCTCGCCGGGATCGCCAAGGAGGGAACCATCTCCCTGTAGGGGAGGGGTGGTGCCGGGTCAGGGCCTGGGTCTCCAGAGTGCCAGGGGTTAGCCTCAGCCGCAGTCAGCCTCGCTTCTGCGCCCGCCCGCCTCCCCGCGAGGCCTTTGCCTAGGGTACCGAAGGCCCGGCGCTACTTACCCAGGAAGAGGCCGCTGGCGAAGGCAGCGCCCAATGCGGCCGAGCCCAGGGCCAGAGCGGCGGGCACAGAGATTCGGGACACTGGCTGGGTCATGGTGCGGGCTGGAGGCAGCTGGCGCCCAGGTCACTTGCGCTGGGGCTCCTGGGACCGCCGCAACACCCGCGGGCCCTCGCGGCTCCGCCTTGCCGGGGCAGTGTCCTCGGAGCCGCGGTCTCGACCACCATCTGGCGGCCACATGGCCTTACTGCAAGCCCCCGCCCCGAGGGGTTCTGGTGTCATCTGGTGGCCGTTTTAGCAACTGCGCCGGGCAGGGAGGAAGCACTACATCGGGTGTCTGGGTTTCTCCCTCCCGACGCCAGAGGTCTAGGGGCCTAAGTCCCAGAGGAAAATTTGAAGCGGCTCAGATAGTAGAGTCTGCCTGCAATGCAGGAGACCCGGGTTCGATCCCTGGGTTCGGAAGATCCCCTGGAGAAGGAAATGGCAACCCACTTACAGTAATCTTGCCTGGAAAATCCCATGGATGTAGGAGCCTGGCAGGTACAGTTCATGTAGAGTTCATGGGGTCGCAAAGAGTCGGACATGACTGAGCGACTTCACTTTCACTTTCTGGCTATGCTTCTTCCTCATCGCTACGGTTTTTTTCTGAGAACCCTTTGGGGCATATGTGAGTGGGTGAATAGACTGTCGGTATAATCGGATAGTAACAGGTACAAAATGATAGAAATCAAAGGAGCCCTGGGAGTGACTGAGAGAATCAAAGGAGGCCTCTTGGGGGAGGTCACCAAGGATGTCAGGTTGAAGGAGTGTTTATCTGGGGGGGACACAACCGTAGGAGGGGTTCAGGAGCCCTGGGGCAGGTCTGGTTGATGGGGTGCTGAGACAATATCCTTAGCTAAAATCCTGGGTGCCAGCTGGACTTGGGTATGAGATCTTGGACCCATCAGTCTCTCTGAGCTTGTTTTTCCTTTGTGTAAAACTGGGACCACAGTCTTAACGTTAATGACACTAGATCGCACAGCCTGGCACACAGTAGGTGCTCCAGAAATGGCAGCCATGGTTATGGTCACAGGTTGGAGGGAAGACATCTTGAGGAGGGGACGTCAGAGGACAGCTGAGTCCCCCTTGCAGGTCTGTTCAGCAGGGATGCAGGGACGCTGTCCGCTGAACAGCGATGAGAATACCTGCTGTGTGCTGAATGGGGTGGGCCAATGAGAGAAGCTGTCCTGGCTTGTGTTCATGACGCTGAGCTCAGAGATCACAGGACACAGGGAACTGGTGAGCAATCCCAGCTTCACAATTTCCTCTTCTGTAAAATGGGGTTCTTGATAGTGCCAACACCCTGGGGGTGGGGGTGGGGAAGTGAAGTGAAAAAATCCAGGTGAAGGATTCACACAGAGCCTGGCACCTACTGGGCTTTAAGTGTTACATTTAAATGAGTCAGATTCCATCGGCCGTTGCTCCAAGGCTGTCCCCTGACACCAGCCCTTCAGAAAACACACTGGGCAGACTGGAGCTCCGCTGCGGGGAGCTTCCCAGGCGAGGCTCGGCCCAGCAAGGCTCAGAGACCGGCTTGCTCCGGGTCTGGTGCGAGGGCGGCTTGGCTGAAGCTGAAGACCCGGGCGAACTGGGAGCCCAGAGCCCAGAACTGACCCGAGCTGTGGGAGCCCGGGCACGTGGGTAGGCCAGAGGAGTGGAGGGCAGGATCGCCTTGCAGACCCAAGGGTGGGGCTGATCCTTTAACCAATCAGCCCGCCGCACCTCCCCCCCCCGCCCCCGCCCCCGGGGAAGGGTTCAAAGGAGGAGCCTGTTGTCTAGGTGCTGCTTGGGTTCCAGTCAGCCCTCCTAGCTCCTCCCAGTTATCCCCAGTTCCCAGTCGCCAGGCAAGCGGCCTGCTGGGAAGGGTAGTGCGTTTCCCCTTGCCTTTTGATCTTTTGCATCCCGCTTGTCCCCATAAATGTTTCTCTGACCTGACTGTTCTCCAGGTTGAGGACCGAGGCCACTGTTCTCTCCCGCGCCGCCCGCTCCTAGCTGAGCACACAGCAAGTGCTAAATAAATGCTCTCTGAATACCGAGCTGGGGACGCCTCCGGCTCCTGGCTGTCGGAACTGCCTGTCAGGACGGTGCAAATAGTAACAGTGAGGGGCGTTTCACTGAGCACCAGGCACTATCATCCAGCTTCCTTGTGAGACTGTGATATTATTCCCATTTTCTGGAGGAGAAGACCAAAGTTCAGAGAGACTACTTCTCCACACTTACTTCCCCAGCCCTGATTTGTTAACCCCTCTGACCCCCTGGCGGGAGGGGGTCACACAGTGAGCTCTTTTGACCCAGAGGAAACCAGACTCCCAAGAAGAGCTTTCCTGGCACCTCCACTGAGGCCCTTCCACCAAACCAGGTGGCACCGGGGCCCTGGGCTCAGCCTGGCCTGCAAACCCTCACTCTCCTTCCTGTCTGGGGGTCTGGGTTTGGGCAACCCCCCAGTTCACACCAGAGCCTCCCTTCCCGGGCCTGGCTTCAGACCGGAGCCTGTGGAGGTGGGGGGCAGCCGGGGAGGGGAGGCATGTCACCATATATCCCCGTCAGATTAAAAAACTAATTTGAAAAGATTAATGTATTCCATTCTTGTTACGCTGGCTCTGATACCTCTGGGCCTGCGGCTGCTCTGCCTCCTGATTATTGAATTTTTATGGCCTGGTAATTAATTGCAGATTCCCTGTTTTGTTCTATTTCTTTTTCTCTGACATTTTAATTTCAACAAAAAGCAGTGGTCTCCATGCAGGTTCTCTCTGGAGATCCTAATGGTCTATAAAACAGAATGACTTATAGACGTGGCACCCACTTCAGTTGGCGAGCGATTGTTTGAAACCTTGCTGATCACGCAAAATTTAATTTTTCCACCTCCCTCCCCCAGTCGCTACTCACTTCTTGTCTCTTCCATTACAGTGCCCGTATCTCAGCTCACAATGAGGGGAGCAAAGTGTCGTCTCCGAAACTGTTACAGTGCCTTTTCCTTGAAGACCAGGGGGCTAAAGACAAAGTAGGTTTCGGTTACTTTCCTCGGAGGTGGCCCCAGTTGTGGCGGTGGGAGCTGGGCCTCCCCAGAGGGCCACATGGATGTGGGCAGCTGCCTCCAGGGTGAGGGAGAGGGAGGGTCTTTTCTGCCTCTCTCAGTTGCCCTTTTGGCCGAGTGCAACTGCCGCATTAGGCACCAAGGCACCCATAGGCTCATGAGGGCAGGGAGGATGGGTGCCCATATGTGCTGTCAGGTCCACACCAGGAAATCAAGGGGTTTGACCCCTGCCAAATTCTTAGCCAGACTGGGTCACTGGAAACAGCTGTTCACAAAGACAGATCTGGAAGAGGCTCCTGCACTCCTCCATCTCCCGGCCCTGCTAACATCACAGAGGCTGGGCACCTTCCCCTAGGGACCCCCAGGACTGGGCAGAGCAGGAGCAGAAGAGTAAGGTCATGGAATCAAGTTGGGCCTAAAGGATTGGAAATTCAGGTATCTTCATGGGTCAGGCAGGCGGGCAAGCGGAGGGCGGCTGGGGGCAGTAGGGACTGTGGCCCTCCAGAACTCACGCCCCATCAGAAGGCGTGGTGGCCACTCAGCCCCAGCCAGCACGGCCATGTGGAAGGCAGTGCGCGTTGCGGCCGGAGCTTCTGATTTTTCAAAAGAGGTTGGAAATCTGGCTTTTAACGTGAAACCTCACAGTTTGAAACATTTGGGTTAGATTTTTTTTTTTTTTTTGAAGCTCCGTGTCAGCTGAACTGAATACATCTTTGATCTTCGTGTCTGATCTGGCCCACAGGACAACTGTTTCCTCTGATTTGGAACACAGATCAGAGACATGAGGACACAGAAGTGGATTCTGTTGGGGCCGCAAAGGCCTCACTGGCCAGCTGATGGCCCCCAGTCCCATGACCCTGCCCCAGGAATCCTCCTTCCACCCGTGGACGCTTCAGCCCTCTTCCTGCCCTTGTGGGCTCCTCCCCAGCAGCCGTGGTCTCCCGGAGGTGGTGCCTGTGGGCCTCTGTCTGGGGCTTGCTGTCTTTAGGCCTCCTTTTCACAGAGAAGCTTGTGGCCTGGAGTCCAACCACAGCTGGGTGAGTGATGCTGAGCTTTTCACCTAAGACTTTGAGGGGCAGTGACTCTATAAGTGACTCCAGAAGCCCCCAGAGTCCGTGTGACTCCACGGACTCTGGGGGCTGTGGTGGGTTGGGTGGGCTCATGCAGACAGACCACGAGTCAGGGGCCTCTGGGGCCCCATGGCCTATTCCTACCTCCTCTGAGTTGAGATGCTGTGGAGCCAGTGCTGGGAGTGCTCTAGCCTCTTATGCCCGTTTCCTCACTTGGACAGGCCGAATGGGAAGTGACTGCATGGGCTTCAGAGTCAGAGGGTCTTGGGTTCAAATGCTGATTGGTCCACCACTCACTTTGTGTCTGTCTGAGCTCAGAGTTTTTCAGCTAGAAAAATGGGCATGACCCTTCTGTCTTAGTGTTTCTGTGCTGTGTAATGAACTATCACACACTGTGTGACTTTAAAAAAGCATGCCATTTTTAATCTCATGGTTCTGTAGGTCAGGAGTCAGGCTAGGCCAGGCTGATCCTCTGCTCGGGGTCTTACCATGAGGAAGGCAAGGTGGCATCTGTGGGTACAGCTCTGCTTGGGCTCTGGACCCTCCTTCAAGGTCTCCAGTTCTTGGCCAAATTTAGTCCCTTCTCACAAAACCCTTCCGTCGCAAGGCCAGCAAAGGCACCTCGAATACTTCTGGTGCTTCAGCTCATTCTGCCTTCCTTTTCTACTTTTCAGGGTTCACGTGATTCCTGGGGACCCATCCAGCTCATCCAGGATAATCTCTTCATTTCAAGGTGAGCTGGTTAGTGACTGTAGTTCCATCTGCAAAGTCCTCCTTGCCGCTCATGATGACGACCATGAGAATAATGGTGGTGGTGGAGATGATGAGAGGGTGGCAAAATTCAGCACAACCTCTAACCTCTCAGAGTTGTTGTAACGATTAAAATACCCCTACCTAGTTCTCTTCCCTCCTTCCTTGAGAACCATGGTGTTAGGTTTTTAAATACTGAGGCGTATAAGTGGCAGAGCCAGGATGTGAACCTGTCCCCATCTCAGCTGCACCACTGGGCCCAAGTTCAGAGCTCATGTGTCTCTGGGGAGTTCACTGAGTTCTCTTGAGAGGCTTCCACCATGTGCCAGGGACTGACCTGTGATCCGGCACTTGGGTATCTCCGGGAGTCCCCAGTGGATGACAGGTGTGTGTTTCATGGTGTTACCTGCTTCTTTCTTTCTGAGGGATGGCTGAGGTGCCACTATCACAACCATTCCTGGGCATCATGACTTTTGCTGGACACCTCAGCTGATCCTCAGGAGCCGCCCTAGTGGTGAAGACTTCATGGAATCCTTTTGAGAAACAGCAAAGTAAAGTCCCCCTGCAGTTCTTCTGTCTCCACCTTGAAATGGTGGCCTATGTCATGAGTCCTTTCTTCCCTAAATTAAGACAAATACACATGTCCCAGATGCCCCTGCAGGCATGGGACCTGGTACCCACAATCAAATGTACTGCACAGGACTCACATGCAAATGTAGCTTGTGAGTCTATGGTTGGAAGGAGAGTGAAGCTGTGACAATAATTGTGATGGAGGTGGAGGTGTCTGTTCCCGCCAAGGATGGCTGTGGTGGAGCCTCTTCTCAGAGGGGTTTTCATGAGAATGGTCCCTTACTGTGTAAAGATGAAATGCTTGGAACTGTAGCAGCTATCTTGTGGCCATGAGGCAACAAAGTTAAAGATTAAAATAAATAAATAAAAACAATGAGGTTGCTGAATGGTCCTTGAAGACATTGCCCAGACATTGAACCACAACCAGAAGCTGCTTACCTCCAGCCTCCTTGTTATGTGAGAAAATGGAGCCCTTTGTGCTTAAGCAATGATTAGCTATATATTCTTTTATTTGACTTTCAAAACCTTCCTAACTGATACAGACACTCTAGCAGGATGGTCTGTGCCCAGGGGTGGTTGACAGTTGGTACTGAGATAACTGTTTGCTTTTTTTTCAGGATAGAGTTACAGATTCCACACTAAACTGGAAATCATGCTCTTCAAAGATAAGGCCTTGTTTTCCTCAGGGAGCAGATTTCTCACAGGGATTGCCCCATCCCTCTCTCACCTGCCAAGTGCAAGTGCCAGTACCAGGTACCCCACCCTAACCTGCTGCAGGCTTATGGTGTCTCATCAAGGCCCCCCACCCTTAATCCCCAGCGAGGTGGGCATGATCACCCACCCTCTATAGACAGGGGCCATCTGGGATCTCACACCTAGGATGGGGGGATTGGTTCCAGTTCTGTATGGCCTGGGGTCTCCCCATGCCAAAGTGAGTCTCTTTGTTTGTGTCACGACCAGAGGTGCCAGCGCATCCCAGGTGGTGATGGTGGTAAAGAACCCACCTGCCAATGCAGGAGACACAGGAGATGCTGGTTCCATCCCTGGGTCGGAAAGATCCTTTGGGAAAGGAAATGGCATCCCACTCCAGTATTCTTGCCTGGACAATCCCATGGACAGAGGAGCTTGGTGGGCCACAGTCCATAGGGTCGCAAAGAGTTGGACACGACTGAGCAACTTAGCACACATGCAGGGGGTGCAGGGGCTTCTGGGACAGTGGAGGACCATGTGGGGAGAGCTGGGGTCAGGGTCAGGGAAGCCCAGCAGAGCGGACAGGTTTCTGCTGCAGCAGTGCTGTGCACCAGCCCCAAGTCTCAGCAGCTTCCAAAATGACCACCTGCTTTTCTAGCTCCTGGGTCAGAGGGTCATCTGGACTGCTTCTGCTTCAGGTTTTGGGTCCACATCTTTCTGCAACAGAGCTTCCCTAATAGCTGAGTTGGTAAAGAATCCACCTTCAATGCAGGAGACCTCGGTTCAATTCCTGGGTTGGGAAGATCCACTGGAAAAGGGATAAGCTACCCATTCCAGAATGCTTGGGCTTCCCATGTGTTTCAGCTGATAAAGAATCTGCCTGCAATACGGGAGACCTGGGTTCCATCCCTGGGTTGAGAAGATTCCCTGGAGAAGGGAAAGGCTACCCACTCCAGTATTCTGGCCTGGAGAATTCCATGGACTGTATAGTCCATGGGGTTGTAAAGAGTTGGATATGACTGAGTGACTTTCACTTCACTTCACTTCACTTCACTTCACTTCTTTCTGCAACAAGCAACTACCTGAAGATTCTCTTTTCCAGAGGACAGCACAGGTGCAAGAGGCCAACCACACAGGTGCTTTGAAAGCCTCTGCCTCAGTCAGCTGTGCTGATGCTCCCACGGCCCCATCAAGTCACTTGGCCAAGCTCCTCATGGGGGGCAAGTGTGTGTACTCCATGCCCTTCATGGGGCCGCCCCTGTGAGGTCATGTGGCAAAGGGTGTGGCTATTGTGGGTCAGGGAGGGAAGAGTCAGGGTCAGCAGTCCAAGCTACACACAGATCCCAAGGACCCCCAGGCATCCCTGAAGCCATGAATGCAGAGACCCCCATGGGGCAGGACCTCAGCAGGGGCAGGTGGAGCAGGGTCACTGCCTCATGCCTGAGCTTCAGACTTCCCAGTCTGTTTCTCAGAGGAGGGACCTGGAGCTGTGGGACTCAGAGTGTTACCTGAGGTCACAGGGCAACCTCCCGTCTTTGCCCACCCCCACTGTGATCATCCTAAACCCAGGTGGGCAGGGGGCAAGGGGTCAGGGCACCTGCCTCCCTGGGGATGACGAGCCCCTTTCTTCCACCCCCTTGCTCAAGCATATACCCACTTCCCCCAAGACACCTGGACACAGAGCCTGGGACCCAAGTATTCCAGCTGCATTGCATGGAGGCTTCTTGGTGCTCGTTGACTTCTGGTGGCCCCTGAGCTGGCCTGGAGACATATTCTGTTTGCCTTGATCAGTATTTTGTTTCTTTGAATGGAGCCAACGTGAAACAACCAGAAACTTCACACAGAATTCAGATTTGATTTCCATTTCTTTTGAAAGAGCAGCAGATTTGACAACTCTGGGCCCATGATGCTGCTGGGAAGCTTGGCAGATGCTGTGTGGTGCCTGCCCCCACCCCCACGGGTCATGTGCCCTTGCCCCAGTCCCCACCACTCCCTGCTGCCTCAGATCCAGAGAGGTTTCCCCACATTCCACATGGTCTTTGTGCTGCTGGCACATGATGCTGGTTTAATCCACTCCCCAGAAGCTCCCAGAGGAGAGACACCTGTTCAGGGTACACAGCCCATAATGGGCTTTTGTTTCTCTCTCTCTTCCTGAATAAGAATTTCATCTGGATTTCAAAGAGCAATTCCTCTTGTGGGCTCCAAATCAGGACCTCAGACTCTGCTGCCGAGCCCAGGGTCAAACCGTTCATGTCATGGTTGAATCTCAGAATACTTCTGGCATTGCTTCCCTGAGAACACAGCCACCTTGACTGGAAAATCTACACTGAGATGAAGCTTTGGGAAATGTTTTGGTGACCTAGGTCCCTGAGTTATGCAGGAAATCCCCTTGGATGTATAAAAAAAGATCCTAACTGCTGATACTTACATAGCAATCACTGTATGCCAGTCACTTCTCCTAACTTCATATTAACTCACTTAATCCTCGCATAAACCTTGTAAGGGGGAAGGTACCATTTTTATCCCCATCTTACAGATAAGAAAGATGAAGCACAGGGAGGTTAAGCAACATCCCCAAATTTGCACAGCTTGTAAGTGGTAGAGTTGAGATTTGAACCCAGGTTCTCTGGTTTCAGGGCTTATTGTTCTTAACCACTGAAGTATCCTAGAGGAAAATACCTATTGTGCTTAGTCACTCAGTGGTGTCTGGCTTTTTGCAACCCAATGGACTATAGCCCACCAGGCTCCTCAGTCCGTGAGGATTCTCCAAGCAGAATATTGGAGTGGTTGCTGTGCCCTCCTCCAGGGGATCTTCCCAGCTCAGAGACTGAACCCAGGTCTCCCACATGGCAGGCAGATTCTTTTTTTTTTAAATTTTTTTATTTTTTTAAAATTTTTTTAATTTTATTTTATTTTTTTTTTTGGCAGGCAGATTCTTTACCATCTGAGCCACCAGGGAAGCCCTAATACCTATTGAGGTGGCCAAGTTTCCTATAATGTCTCATTTCACCCTTGAACTTGCCCAACAAGGTAGGGTTGGATTTGGCTGTGAGAGACAGAAAAACCTAAAAGAGAAGTTGACTTCTGTTTTATACAGATGCAGCTTAGAGGTGGTAGAGAGGCTCCAGGGTCAACTGGGACTCGGGCTTCTCCTCTGCTATGCTGTCATCCTCTTCACGTGGTGTCTTCTCATTCAACAGGATGACTGCTTGAACTCCAGCCATCATACCTGCAATCCAGTTTTCAGGAAAAAGGAAGGGACAAAATAGAACTAACCTCCTTCCTTCAAGGACACTTCTTCAAAGTTTCATAGGCTATTGTACTTGCATCCTTTTGATCAGCACTTAGTCACAGCCACACTCGAGCCTGGAAATAGTCTATATTCCAGAGGATAATATGTTTACTGAGAAATCAGTTCTATCATTAAACTTAAAAGAGAGAATGGATATTGACTCAGCACCATCACTGTGTTGTTTACAGATAAAGAAACTAAAACTCAAAAAAAAATAAAAAAATTAAAAAAAAAAAAAAAAGAAACTAAAACTCAACGAGGTGAATGACCTGCTGGAGGTAACACAGCCAGGAAGAGGTAGAGCTTGGATCTTCCATCCCTGGGCCCTTTGGAGCAGGTAGGGCTCTGAAGATACACTCTGCCAGTTTCCTAGGTGGTGAGGAGAACTGTGGATATGTACATGCCTCCCTTCCCAGGCCCCAGGAACACCCAGCACCCAGATCCTGCCAACCAGGCAGCCTTGAGCCTGCAAGCCCTGGCAGCCTCTCTGGGTGCAGATCCATCACCCCGGCACCAACCATGCCCTGGGCCTGACTCCATCCATCCCTCTAATGCCGCATCGACTGTGCTTGGGCGCGTTCCTCAGGCAGCCTCAAGAGCGCTGAATAATTCAGGTCTGCGTAATGGGATAATGAATTCACTGACAACCCAGTGTGGTCTCGGTACTTGCATTTCAAGAAATACTGACTCCCCAGGCCCGTTCTGCAGGCTGGAGATGTACACACGCCAAGAAACTGTTGCCTTTACCTGCCTCGTGGGGTTCAGGCCTGATTGAGTGGATGCCCTACTTTGGTCTCACTCATTGTTCAACTGCTTGGGCAAGTGGGGAGTCTGGGGGGCAGGGGGCCTGTCTGGTTGGAACTGTAGGGCGAGTTGGTAGTGGAATCACAGAAGCTCGGACATGCAGAGCCGGAAAGGACCCTTTGGTCCTGCACACCCATCTTATGAACCGGGAAAGTGAAGTTATGACAGGGACGGGCCTCTGCTCCTGCACACTGCGCTTTGTGGCTGGGAATGCCGGGAATGGATCAGGAATCTGCGGAGGAGAGCTGCTTTTTTTCACCTCCTAATGCTCCAGTTTCCCTGTCCCTCAGCTGTAGAGAGTTGTTAATGACTCCCAGCTGCCCCTTTGCTGGAGATGGGCCCTCAGCCTAACAAGAGCCATTCCCGCAAGGCTCCTTGCGTGACCTGGACAGACTGTGGCCATGACAGGCTGATGTGGTGCCAAAGGCCACCCCGAGCCTCAAGGTAGGATGAACCCTGATGCTTTTAAGGGTCCAGAACCCTTGGAGGGACCGGTCTGTGGCTCAACCCCAGCTGAGACCCTGTACTGGCTTAGCTTTTACTGCTCCCCTGTCCTGCTTCCCTCACTCCCCTGTTCCTCAGAGCCCCTTCCTGTCCCCACCAACTCCCACCCTACACCCACCCCCCCACTGCTGTCAATCATCTGAATGGGAATGCAGGACTCAGGCTCTGCTTCTGAAGAACCCTCCTGAGACAGTTGCATTTCTGGGTCTGAACCCTCCTTTCTTATTTGTTTTTGTTTTTCAGCTTAAAAAAATTTTTTTTTTAATCAGAGTATAGTTTGCTTTACAGTGTTGTTAGTTTCCACTGTACAGAAAAGTGAATCAGCTATACATATATGTATGTCCCCTCTTTTTTAGATTTCCTTCCCACTGAGTCGAGTTTCCAGAGCTCTATAGCAGTGAGGGGCAGGGAGGCCTGGTGTGCTGAAGTCCATAGGGTTGCAAAGAGTCAGACATGACTTAGCAACTAAACAACAATAGGAGGTTCTCATTAGTTATCTGTTTTATACATAGTATCAGCAATGTATTGGAGAAGGGAATGGTTACCCAGTCCAGTATTCTTGCCTGGAGAACTCCATGGACAGAGGAGTCTGGTGGGCTACAGCTTGTGGGGTTGCAAAAAAATCAGACACAACTGAGTGACTAACACGAACATCAGTAGTGTATATGTATCAATCCCCATCTCCCAATCATCCTACCCCTACTCTCCCCCTTGGTATCCTTGTTTGTTTTCTACGTCTGTGTCTCTATTTCTGCTTTGTAAATAAGAATGTCTATACAAGTTTTTTTCAGATTCCACATATATGCGTTAAAACTTGTTTTTCGCTTTCTGACTTACTTCACTCTGTATGATGACTAGGTCTATCCACATCTTCACAGGTGACCCAATTTCATTTCTTTTTATGGCTGAGTAATATTCCATTGCATATATCATTATCCATTCTTCTGTTGATGAATGTTTAGGTTGTTTCCATGTCCTGGCTATTGTAAATAGTGCTGCTATGGACATTGGGGTGCACGTATCATTTTGAATTACACTCTTCTCTGGGTATATGCCCATTAGTGGGATTGCTGGGTCACATGTTAGTTCTATTTTTGGTTTTTTAAGGGACCTACATAACTGTTCTCCATAGAGGCTGTATCAATCTACATTTCCACCAGCAGTACCAGAGGGTTCCCTTTTCTCCACACCCTCTCCAGCATTTATTGTTTGTAGATTTTGTGATGATGGCTATTCTGACTGGTGTGAGGTATCTCATTTTAGTTTTGATTTGCATTTCTCTAATAATTAGTGATGTTGAGCATCTTTTTGTATGTTTGTTGGCCATCTGTATATCTTCTTTGGAGAATTGTCTATTTAGGTCTTTCACCCATTTTTTGATTGGGTTGTTTTTTGATTTTGAGTTGCATGAGCTGTTTTATATTTTGGAGATTAATTCTTTGTCTGTCGCTTCATTTGCAAATATTTTCTCCCATTATGAGGGTTGTCTTTTTGTCTTGTTTATGGTTTCCTGTGCTGTGCCAAAGCTTTTAAGTTTAATTAGGTCCTATTTATTTATTTCTGGTATATTCTCATTATTCTAGGAGGTGGGTCAGAAAAGATCTTCCTGCAATTTATGTCAGAGTGTCCTGCCTATGTTTTCCTCTAAGAGTTTTCTAGTGTTTGGCCTTACATTTAGGTCTTTAATCCATTTAGGGGTTAGGGTAAGAGAATGATATTAGAACACTCTCTAACACCATACGCAAAAAAGAACCCTCCATTCTGGGGACTCCTCCTGGAGTGCTAAGAGGCTCAGGGCCAAGAATGCTTGGCCCTGGCTCTGCTGTGCGACAGTGAGGAAATCACTTCTCCACTCTGGGCCTCAGTTTCCCCGCTTGTATGGCTGGGGTTGGGGAAGCCTCTCTCAAGTACCTTCCAGCTCTGAAGGTCTATGATATGACCTGAAGTGCCTGAAGCCAGTGCCACATGTCCATGGAGTCCTACCATCCGGACTTTTCTCTGAAGGCTTCTTCAAAATGTAAAAGCATTTGCAATGAGAATGAGTTTCCTTATTTTTTTTTATTTGTAATTATTTATTTATTGGCTGCACTGGGTCTTCGTTGCTACTCAAGGGCTTTTCTGTAATTGTGGAGAGTGGGGGCTAGTTGTGGTGCACGGGCTTCTCATTGTGGTGGCTCCTCTTGTTGCGGAGTGTGGGCTCTAGAGTGCAGACTCAGTAGTCATGGTACACAGGCTTAGTTGCCCTGCAGCATGAGGGATTCTCCTGGGCCAGGGATTGAACTCATTTCCCCTGCACTAGCAGGTGGATTCTTATCCACTGGACCACCAGGGAAGCCTTGAGAATGAGATTCATGTAAATGACCATGCCACAGGCAGATTCTCTCAAGGGGGGATCCGTGGGTCACCTGAATCCGTCACTGGGAGGGGACTGCCTGGTTGGAACTGTGGGGTGAAGTGGAAGTAGAAGTTTGGACATGCAGAGCTAGAAAGGACCCTTTGGCCCTGCACACCCAGCTTATGAACCAGGAGAGTAAGGTTGTGGCAGGCGTGGACCTCTGCTCCTGCACACTGCACTCTGTGGCTGAGAATGTTGGGGATGGCTCGGGAATCTGGGCAGGAGCTCTGCTTGTTTTCCTTCAAACCCACTGCTTTCCCCATCCCCCAGCTACTGGAGGTTGGTGCTAATGACTCCCAGCTGCCCCTTTGCTGGAGACGAGTCTTCAGTCAGATAAGAGCCTTAAGGCCAGCCCACCCAGCATGACCTAGGCAGACTGCAACTGATGACTGGTTGGCATGGTGTAAGATGGCCACCACTGGGGACTACCGCTGAGTCCTACTACTGGGGACTTTTCTCTGAAGGCTCTTTCAAAAGGCAGAAGCATCTGAGATGAGAATGAGTTTCGTATTAAGTGATGATGCTGTAGGGCAGACTCTCTCAAGGTGGGATCTTGGATCACCTGAATCCATTACCTGAAGGGGTGTATATTATTATTTTTATTTAAAAATATTCATTTATTTGGCTGTCCTGGGTCTTCGTTGTGGCATGTGGAATCTTTAGCTGTGGCATGTGGGAATCTAGTTCCTTAACCAGGGATTGAACCCAAGGAACATGGGCTTTTAGCCTCTGGACCACTAGAGAAGTCCCAGGAGTGCTTATTATTATTCCCCTTCCCTTCTTCCCTTTTTTTGAATATGGTATGTGATGTCTGGAGCTGCAACAGCTATCTTTCAGTCATGAGGAAACAGCATGAGATGTACACAATAAGCTAAGTAGGGACTTCCCTGATGGCCCAGTGGTTAAGAATCCACCTTCCAGAGCAAGGGATGCCGGCTTGATCCCCGGTTGGGGAACTAAGATTCCACATGCTCCAGGGCAACTAAGCCTGTGTGCCACAGTGAAGATCCCACATATTGGAACTAAGACCCAATACAGCCAAATAAATACATATTTTTTCTAAAAAGCTAATGATAGTGAAGTAGAAATATAGAAAGAAGCTGTTTTTCAATGGCATTTCTGAATCATGGCCCCAAATCTGAAAACTGCCTCTAGAATCTCAGTATGTAAAATGATTATCTTTATTGCTTGAGCAAGTCCTGTTTAAGTTTTCTTTTATTTGCAGCCCAGAGCTTTCGAAACAAACCAACAGTCTTTAGCTCATTGAATCATAACAGCCAGCTTCTAAAGTAGGGATTATTATCATTGGCTCAGATAAGTGACATAGCCAAGGCCACACAGCAAAGGGCAGTTGGAGCTTTCAGGTTGGGAGGAATTTTGATAATTGATGAAAATGGAACTCCTGTCTCCACTGTGTGTCTGCCATTGTAGTCTGGCCACTGGGAATAATCTCCCTTGCCATTCTGGTCTTCGGTCACTCTCTGTCTGTGCATCCGCCCCAGGTCTCAGCTAGAGATTTGGGAAAGGCCCCTTGGGGGTAGGGGGAAGGAGCTGGCAGGCAGCCCCTGTCCTTACCAAATGGAGTGGGGCCAGATTCTGGTACCGAGGACGAGGGGAGACTGAACCCATTTTGGAGGTGGTTCTGGCCTCCAAACAGCTCTAGTCTCTTGGATGTGGGGTTACAGTGAAAGGGAGAAAGCTCAGACACAGAAAGAGACGGAGGGATGGAAGGAGAGGGAGACAGAGGCAGAAGTTGAGGAGGAGGAGGGGGAGAGGAAGAGAGAAGGATGACAGGTTTTAGAGATGAACTTTGAGACAAACATAGCAATGAACCTCAGCTCAGACACAAACTAGTTCATCCCCCCGCCCCCACCCCCCCAACACCAGCTTCAGCCTCTTCACCGTGTGATGGAGTAGACTGGGACACCTCCCTCGCTGGGACAAATGGCCCAGCACTGACCTGTAGTGCATGCTCAGTCAGTGGGCCCTTCTGTTCCCACACAGACCAATCTGATGGTTTGGAGGGTGCTCTGAGGGTGGAGGCAGGACTGCAGGCAGGGTGATGCAACCCT